TGGGTTTTGTAAGAGAAAAACTGATTTTTCAATCAAGTGTGCAGGTGCAATTTCTCATATAATTGACCAATCAAACCCATTGGATTTAATCTCTTATGAGATAAAAATCCAACACACACAAGCACTTCAATCTCTTGGCCATTGCCTAGCCCATCTGCTTGGGCTTTCCTAGTACCCAACACACCCATCTGCACTCGGTTACCCACTTTGTGCCTTTACCCAACCCACCCACCTGCCCAGCCACCCCGGTTATAATTAACAAGGCAAAAGACAAGGAAATCCAATTTAAATATATAAAACATTAAACAACAATTGAAAAACACTCAATAAATGGTTTTTTTCTTAATCAAATAGCCATAGCAAGAAAAAAAAAACACAATCAAAACTGTAAAGACCACTTAACATTTTGGTGAGTAAAACAATTTTATTATTTTCAATATGTCATCTTGGAATTAACATATCAGAGAATATCAAACAAAAATAAATGTATAAACATAATAAAGAAATTAGAATTTAGTTACACAATTTACATTACAAAACCACAAAATTTTGAATTAGGAGCTAATGAAATCTCGACAGCACAATAAAAAATCTTATATATATATTAACTTTAGAATTTTGGTATTTTATAACAATCTTATAATCGTTAGCATTTTTACTATGAAAATTAGGATATATGTTTAAGTAAGGATATTAGTTGTTGCTGCCAAATGTGGAATTGAGGGCAACAAGGTAATTTACAGCGTTCGCGGCTGATAAGTCCAACTTATTGAAAGAAGAAATATATCAAAAGCCCCGAGAGGAGGAATAGTTGGAAGTGATTGATGATGGGTGATCAGATACATCCGGCCGATGTCACATGTCAAGTACACGGGATAGCCAGGATGCATCTGGCCGACTCCATGTGTCAACATCTACGGGTCGGCCAAATGCTCTAGATGTATGACTGAATTTTTAAGGCATACAACTGAATTTTTAATTTACTCTTAACATCTCTCCCCCCCTCCCTTTTTTTTGTTCTTCGTTCTTGTTTTATTTCTTTTTCTTGAAAAATATGTTTTCTTTTTTATTTTTTTGAAAAGGTAATAAATCCAAAGTCGAACTTTCCTACAAACTTTGAAATAAAGAATATTTATCGCATTTCCAATTCATACGCTATCACAGAGTTTCAACGTCTGATATGCACCGGCGTTTAAACCATGGTAATGAGTAATGAGTAACACACTAGAATACCATCTTCAGAAAGCGAAGATGCTTTCCTCGACCGGAACAGAGACCTGTTACCAAAACAGATGGAATCGGGGCCTTATCCTTTGCGTCGTGTTCTCCTATTGTTAGTTGTTACTATCCCCGAGATACGAAAGAGAGTACCAATGTGGACAGTGCACATTCTTAATTGACACGGACACTGACATTACCTTAGATTCCAATCCAATGGTAAGCAGCTAAAGAACACGTACTCGTACTCTTTTGTTTTTCGCTAAAAATAGTTGTCGGTTATCTTCCTCTTTTGATCATGAAATTCAATATCGAGAGGAAGAGCAAATTATCTAGTTATCTACTCGATTAGTTGAGTTTTCACGCGAATTCGATCCATGGAATACGAATTTCAGAAAGCGAAGTTAGCAAAATTTCGTTACAGAGAAGCATTTTCTTTTAAAAATTTCTTTGGACACCATGAAGAGCTCATGAAGAAGAAAGAACTTCAAGATCTAGCCGAACTAGTAAATTAAATAAAGAAGGGAAAGCGGAAAGGGACGAGAAAGAATCGCACCTTTAATTCGAAGTTCTGAGTTGGAGTCTTGTTTCTTCTTTGCCTGTGAAAAGCTCTAGACTGTGAGGTGTGAGGAAGAGGAGAGAAGATCGCAGCGTCTCCGCCTTCCTCGTCGGCCCGAAGTTCTCTCCTGTGGTCTGAAGAGCTGCTCCAACTACAGCTAGTGCTTCGCTCCGAGTCTATTTATAGGAGCAAACCTGACTGCGCCACGAAGGTCCCTAGATGGCTCCTCTTTATCCGTAGCTTCTGAGCCTTCTGTACAGTAAAGCAGCAGGAGGAGAACTATCTGCTACGCCCGTTGGTGTTGCTTTGGGCTAAAGCTGTGAAATCACAGCCCTCGATTTATTAACGTGGCCTTACATTGAATTAGATGAAGTGTTAAGATACACAGTAAAAATCCCAAAGCTATGCCAACGGGCCTAGCGGATTTTAGGATGTATGTATTAAAGGATTCTGTAGTTCATAATACAGTGTGCTACTGTGTGTATGGTGTACATAAAGAGATATTCTGTAAAAGCAAAATGGAAGTGGAGGTAATGAATGGCGAAGAATTATTGTTTTCGGCAACTTGATGAATTTAAAATTTCCAATTGACAGTTGACACCCGTTTAGGATGTGTTTGGTGCTATTGGTGTTTCAATCTGTAATGTTTTTGAATTGAATTTGTAACATGAAAACGACTATTTGCATACAAATCTTGTTTGGTGAGAAATTTGTATTCTTCATTCGTGTCATTGTGTCGGCACCAAATCATGTATCAAATCAGTTGGGATTTACTTGCCTCCTAACAGGGTTGGAAGTCTTATATCTATAAATCCTAAATTTATATTAAAAATGTGTTTGATCTAAATGTGAAAAGTAAAACTTTCTTTCTAATAAACAGTCTCCAACTAAATAGAAAATTGATCATTAAACTCAAAATACCTATATGGTGTTGATGCCATGGCATTTATACTTGAAATTGCAAAATACCAAACAACAGCTTAATTTTTTTTCATTAGCTGAATGTTTTAAGAGGCTGTAAAATCAATGATAAGACTCCACACCAGTCTTAAAATACATGGGACCCATCCTCATTATCAGCTAAAGAGTTCATTTAATCCTATATATCCCAATCTCCTATTTAGAAAACCTACCAACTGTCCACATATTACTTAAGGCTCCTATACAAGGTTTTACATTCTATATATCTGTATTTGCACCCTTTCCATGGCTCAATTTAATTTGGAAGGATTATGAATACAAATATGTAGAATGCAAAACCTTATAATTTGTATTATTTTGTATCTATTTATATTTATGCTCCTTTCAAACTAAGCCTAATATGCAAAAATTTGGACAAAAAGAAAAAAACATTCTTACGGAAAATGCATTCTTACCCAAACAAAATTGCAAATTTACCAAATATATGCATTCTTATCAAATGCACCTGAGTATGCATTTGGAATGGGTGTAAAGGACACTAATGATGTTTTACACCAAATCGTGAGAAAATGACCATTGCACTTTGAAAAGCATGATGTGAAAAGTAAAATGTTTTACATCATTTTTATTGATGTAGTATTTATATTAGATACTCAATGTAAAATTTTATATTTGATTAGGTTTTTCATTGATTTACGATGTAAAATTCTATTCCATCTAAATGCCGGTAAATTTAAGGGATTTTTAGCTTGCACTCCACTTCAGAATTTAGATTTGAATTGCAAACTTACAACAATTCAAATTTATGAATAAATTCACCTATAACACCCATACCCACATGTAAATTAGTAACAATTCCGAGCTACCACCTACCCCTAACTATAGGTGGAAGTAGAATTCTAAAAATAGACTAAAATGATAAAAAACCCTAAATTTAAATCAAAGTGGAGTTTTACGTCAACTCTCCATCCAAACGTTGAAAAAATCAAACTAATGTAAATTTTTACATCGTTTTTTATTTAAACCGATTCCAAAGGCAGCATGATGGAATATCTTCTTATTTTATTTTTCTTTTTAATCATCTATTTATTTTTTATCCTGTACTTGTACCTAGCCATTGGAATCAATTACGTTTCTGTTTTAGAAATATTAATGGATTGAGTGGTGGAACCCCACATTCATCATTTAAGAATCCATGTTCTGATCGTTTGGCTGGGAAGGTCCCATGATATCTCATTGTCTTCTACCCTGCATTCATTTTTGTCAGGATTATTTGGTCCTGTCGTGGTCATAGTCAAAATTTCGTTGCTTCGTACAGGTAACTTCTACCGGTGGTGCTTAGGAATCAGGACCACCCATGTGACAGTGGGACCTACTGGCTAGTGTATCAAGTATCAGCGATGTCAATACGTGTTACCACATGCAGCTTCTTTCTCAGGTTCTTATTTATTTAAGGCGACTCTTGCATGCGGATTTCTGAATGCAAGAGTCTCTCGTTCGGATGAGTTACTTGGCCTGGAATTTGGAATTCAATGGATTTAATTAAGTATTGAAGTCGGATTCCTTTTGGATGGCTGACAGTGGGAGCTACAGTATCAACAATGTCGACACGTGTGGGCCAGAATATTATGTTCGAAGGGGGGAGATTGTTGGACGAAGCTAGGGTTGGCTAGTAATTCACTAATTTGTCGTGTTTCCATCTTTTGGTGAGAGGTCGTTTTTCCTCTTGGAATTTGGAAAGGAATGTCATGGTCTTAACTCTTAAATGACAAGATCAAGACAGCCAAATAAGGATCCGTTTCGTACTTTCGTTTACCAAGAGGACCGGAGTTGAAATTCTTTGAAATCGGAATCAGAATTATCTATTCTTGACGTCTATTTGCTTCAAGCAATAATTATAATGGAAATTTTGATTGTTTTTATTTGGTTTATTAGGAGTTGGAATCGAAATCAACTAAAAATTTTTAATTTTGTATTAATTTATTATTACTTTATTACAATTTTATGATTATATATAATTATTATTTTATTAATACTTTATTATTATTATTTCATTAGTATTTAATAATTAATATCTTAATATTTATCATTAATTTATGAATATTTTATTAATATATTATTATTTTTCTTATTAGTTTAACAAAATTCTATTATTTTTGTAAATTAATTTATTATTATTTAATAAATAGCATGTTAATATTTTATTATTATTTTAATTATAATATATTAATATTTTATTTGTACTTAATTATTATTATGATTATTATTATTTTATGAATATTTTAGTTATTATTATTATTATTATTATTATTATTATTATTATTGTTGTTGTTGTTGTTGTTATTATTGTTATTGTTATTGTTATTGTTATTGTTATTGTTATTGTCTTATTATTAATTTAATAATATTTTATTATTTTTATTAATATTAGTATTTCAGGGGCATTTTGTCATAAGTTAGTTATTTACTTTTTGACAAGACTTTAGAGTAGGAATCCTGGGGGGATGGTCTTGCTCCACAAAAACTTGCCAGCTGGCTAATGTTTTAATACATATTTTATACATCGATTTAGGTTCACTATTGGGTTAAGTTATTTATATAGGTGATACGTTTTTTTTGTTTTTTCATTTTTTTCCTTTGTAGTTTTTTTTTTTGTTTTTAAAGCCTGTTTAATAAGTAATTTTGTCAAAGTTGATTTAGTTTATAGTATCTCCTTCCTTAGGAGATAGGTATTAATGATATCCAAAGGAAACTTCATTTACCATGGAACCCACATTACCAAACAAATGAATATATCTTGAGGTTTGGTGGTTTAGGATTTAAGGGGATAGAGCTTAGGTTTTAGGGTTAGGGTTTAAGGGATTAAGATTTAGGTTGTAGAAAGATACTTGGTTCCTGCCTAGTTGGAGAACATGCATCCCATTCATCATTTTAAACATAAACTTAAGTGTTTAGAGGTTTAGGATTTAGGGTTCAAGAGTTTAGAATTTAGATTTTAGGACTTAAATCTAGAATTCAAGAGGTGAATATTCATAAAGATTTACACTATTGTCAAGATATTATTGATGATGCGCGATCTAGTGCTCCCTATTGGTAGACAGCTCAGATGTTGGACTGAGTAGGTCGCCTGGTCAAGATACAAAAAAGTGATTATTAGAGTGTTTGGGTAGCTTAACCCAGGGTGAAGTCTAGTTAGATTAGTGGAAGTAGGTTGCCTCTTACGCCGACTTGAGATCTTGCCTGGCTGTTCGTAGTTCGGCCTACCGGTGTGGTGCCAAGGTCGTCAAGGCGGTTTGTGAAGTGTCAGAAGTGCTCCTAGGGTCCTCTTATGTGGTGCTGAGATGTCATTCTACTATTTTGCAATGCCAAGTGTCATGATATCATTGGATGACCAAATTACCCCTCATCAATTGCCCCCTGTTCCTGAGTCCGGCGTGATCAGTCCGATGAGGGAGTAGTCTTAACTCGAGGTGATTTGATCTGAGTTCCAACTTCGATCGTGGTCCGATTAATGGCTCAGGATTAGGTTGGTTTAATCAATCCAACCTAGGCACGAGGTAGCATACCGGGAACACGCGGATGCCACACAATCATTAGGTCGCGCAGTCGTCAAAAACGCATTAAATTGATTTCACCTTGGAATATGAACCGCCACGTCCTTGCAAACCAACTATCTATAAATAGGACCCTCAGAGGCCCATTTCTCTTGTCCTTAACCTTGGAGTTCTGGTGCATAGTGAGGTCGTGGAGCTTCGACGTTGTTGAAGTCATTGGTGTAGTCGGTGAGGTTGGTCCATTCATTCTAGGTGAGTCATCTCCCCCTTGATTCGTTCTTTGCTTTCATCATGTTGGGTATCGAGTCTGGGGAAGAGAGGGGTCCGTCTTGCTAGGCCGAGGAGGGGTCCTCGGCCCAAGAACAACGAGGTTCCAATAAAGGAGCCTCATCCTCCCGTCGTCAACCCAAAAACAAATCTGAGCTCGGTCCCACCGAACTGGCTGTCAAAGATGTTTACGAGCTCGTAGATTGGTATAGGATACCAAACTAGTTCAGATATTCCCTTCTCCTTGGGTAGTTCCCATGGAAGCATGTCGATAACGAGGTTGCTATCTTCGAGGATGCCTTGAAAGTAAGTCTTCATTCCCCCTTCACCCCCTTATTCCCAATGTGCTAAACTACTACAATGTTAGCCTAGATCAGCTCCACCCCAACTCTATTAGGACCCTGGTTGACACCATCTCCTTCTGTCACCACGTCGGTTTCCCCTAAATCTCAAGACCTTCGTCGACATCTGCCACATAAAGAAAAACCCTCCAATACTCCTGGGATGTATAACTACTACTT